ACCCACCTCTCCAGTAAGTACCACCTACACCTACCCACCTCTCCAGTAAGTACCACCTACACCCCCCACCTCTCCAGTCATCTAGCCAGTCATCTGTCCGTGATCGTGAGTGAACGTCGTTGTCGTCGTCGTTGCAGGAAACACTGCGCGGAGGACCGACTGCCGTCTCCCACGACGCAGGACGTGGCGCCCCCTCACGGCACCGTGACGTCGGCCGCCAAACCCGATTCATTCCCCTTCCCCGTCGTCGACCAAAGCAATACCGGCTTCCCCAAGTCGAAACCGCGACTCACGCAGCCGCTGCACGTCGTGAAGGAGCGGCCACCAGGGGGCGTCGGCGCGACGCTCAACGCCACGAACTCTAGCGTCGACGTGAAGGCAAAGCCGCCAGATGGCGCCAGCGTCGCGTTCAATCTTCCCGGCACGATAACGATTCCACTGTCGGCGATGTCCGGTGCATTGACTAGCGTTCAGAGCAGCGGCAGCGGCGGCATGACGACGGCGACGATAAACCTCACGCCGTCGTCGCTAGGGGGCGCCGCGATGAGTCTCGGCGCGTCGCGCCTGCCAGGTGGCACTGTCAACCTCACAATGACTCTCGTCAGCAATAAGAACGTGCAGCTGCAGTCGAGCCGTGGCCCCGCCGCCGCGCCGCCACCAGGGTGCGCTGCCGCGCCGCGCGTGCGACCGCCGGCGCCCCCGCACATGTCGGGCGACGTTATAACGATCTCACAGAGCGAACTCGCAGCCCTGCAGGGCAAGGCGCTGTCGGCGGCGGCGGCGGCGGCGGCTCGGCCGGGCGACGCCGCGACCGCCGGCGCCCTCTTGCTGGCTGAGAATGGGCAGCCTCTCAGCGGCGGGGGCGGCGTGAGAACTTGTGCCAACGTGAAGAAGATTGCTAAGCCGCCGCTGCAGCAGCAGCAGGGCAAGCCTCGCAGTCCGGGGGCGGCGCACGCACGCGCGCTCGCAATGCCCGCCCTCGCCGCCACGGGCCTCATATTCGACACGGCGATGAACGCTGCAGCAGGAGGACACGCACCGACGGGCACCGTGCATCACGTCACGTCGGTAAGCCGACGACGCGGTCGCCGCGGCAACGCGTCGCATCGCGACGTAGAGTTAGGAGTAGTCGGAACGTTTTTTCGGAAGACGTTTTCGATTGGATCAGTTTTCTCTTGTGTGATTCGTAGATTTTCGCTCGTGTAAGTTGTAGATTTTCTGTTGCATGAGTTGTACCATTTTTTCTTCTTTTTGAAATTCCTGAGTTCCTCTTATATACGTAAGCTCCAAACATATTCTTGCAGAAATTGGACATTTTTTGGCTGTGCAGGTTTTGATTGTCGTGCTCCCTGTTGTGTGTCCAGGGTAAAAAATACACGGGAGCGATGAGCGATTCGCTCTTCAAACCTCCAAAATCGCTCCCGCGAGGCTCAAAAGAGCTCCCCTGGCGAATTTTGACGAGAGCTATTTTTCCACAGACTTGCGTGAAAAAAAACAAATTTTTTAAATTGTTTGTGTCGTGTATAAATTACACTCTCACGGATTCCCGCTCACGCGACAGCCGCGTCTGTGTCACACGTGTGGATGCTGACCTCTCTCTCTCTCTCTCTCTCTCTTTCTCTCTCTCTCTACCCCGTCACTAATACCAGCAGGTGCCGATGGTTGCTCGCACTCCTCAGTCGCAGCAGAACATGGCCGTCAACACCAACCTCCCCAACGGCTTCGCGCCACCCACGCTCGCCGGCGGAAACATCATCCTCAAGGGGGCGCTGGCGAACAGCTTCACGAGATCGACGAGTAGTCCCTCGCCCACGGTCAACCTCGACCATCTTAATTCAGGTAGGTGGCGCCACCGTCAACTCAAAACATTCCGGCGGTCTGGTCTACGCCGGTGGAATTTCGTCAGGTCTTTATATATATGATAACTAGGATTCTAGAAGCGATAGACTGCTGGAGCTCTGCTATGAGCAGGCAGGAGAATCGCATCACTGATTTGCAGAATGAAAGCAAAAATATGGTATTTAGAATTTTTATAATAAAAAATAAAATGTGATAAGATGTAAAGTATAATAGATTGAGTTGATTTTTAGTGCATTCTAAAGCCATTTTTCTATTCCTGAATTGGTCAAAACCTTCCAGTTTTAATGATGTTTAACCCTAGATTAACACGGTGGGCAGAAAAAGCTTTCTAGATCCCCAGCCCACTTGCAAAAAGTTCTGGATATTCTATAATATTGCTGGCATGTGTGCCAATCACCGATTGCAGTCTGGATTTTTGAAACGCTAGTGCTAAACGTTCTCAAAACCGTTTATACATGTTTTTTTCAGGTCTCAATGCTCAAAACATTCAGACAGTCACCTTTTCGAAACCTCCAACATGCAATCCTCAGCCACAATTCATCAATCTCAGCACGCTGGCGACACCTGCAGGCCTTCAACACAACTAGAACGAGAGGTGCTATCCAGAATTTCTCCTGGTGCTCCCACACGCAAGCGCCGTCAGGCCAGGCCTCGGTCACGGTGCTTAGCGTTACCCATGCAGAATGTTAGCTGCCACCTGGTGGTGGTTCACAACTCTCAGGCACCGATCAACTGTAGTCACGCGTGGTCAGGTCAACCGCCGTACTGCCACCTGGTGGTGCAGGCCTTCGCAAACTCTCAGACGCCGATTGACTGCGGGAACGAGGCTTGGGTCGTCGCACGGCCATCATCGCCCGATCACTTCGACCGCTCGCGCCGGGCGTGCAACGCCGGACAGTTGGACGGATGCCTAATGCACACACTGCCGTCAACGCTGGCCTACGGGCTCACGACGTTACATCACAAAACCGCTCGCTTCTTTCGCCAGGTGGTGATGTGTCCGTGTGGAGCGAAAGACCAAAGCATCTATCGCGGGCTGATTGTCTGTGAGACACGAGCGCGTGCTCGCGTGCCGGCCGCCGGTTGACTGAGAAGGTGGCGCCAGCTGGCGACAGAAGGGAGAATTCTCGTGACGACTCGTGTGACGAGATGCGATTCATTGGGCGGAGATGCTCAGGTGTTTGCTAACGAGGCGTCGCTCGTTACCCTGCCACCCACAGATGGTGTCGCCTGCACCGGTTGCCGTGGCAACGGTGATGCACAAAAATGGATGCAGCTGACAAGTTATTTAAGTGCCTGACTCGCCTGTTTGATTACTAAGCATCTAGATTTTCCCATTCTAAGCTGGCACGCAGTTGCAAAATTGCAATGCGGACGGCTGACATTTTTTGCATAATATCTTTAATCATTGTACTAGAATTGTCGTCTAGCTCAAAGCGGATAGAGATCCCCCTGTTATCTGTTACCGTGATGCGAGGGACGGAGAGGCAACAGCGCCTTTGTATTATGTGTACAGTCCCCTGGGTGTTCATCCAAAATCCAGGATGTGTTGCATTTTCTCTGCATGGTTGCGTACGGTAGTAGTGTAGGCATTTTGCAACCATGTTGAAGACTTACCAATATCATGATCGAAGTAATACATATATGCAGAAAGGTTGCATATGACATGCCCAAATTTGGTGATATTATAGTGTATATTATTAGCAATGATAATTATTTATTTGTTGACATTGTCAAAGGGTTGTGTAAACATGAGATAAAGAAAACTGCATTAATGGAACCTGAGGGTCAGCAAGGTCACCTGAAGGTCAAGCCGCATGACTTGCCGATTTATTTATATTTTTGCAGTGATTGCTTTAACATATTAATGTTTTTGTTATGACATTTTTGTATGAAAACTTTGAAACAATGTGCATGTACCAAATATGTTTGTTGTTGGTTTGCTTACTGCTGCTTCGTCTCAGCGTCTCTCATCTCTTTCTTCTCTCGCCCCACCTCACTTTCTTCTAGCACTGTTTTATGTCTGCTTTTGGGACTATTGCTTCAAACGCCGCAAACCGCCTTCTACTGCAAAGTTTTTAAGCATGGAATTCAGTTTTGCTAGAGGGCTTGTTCGTTTGTAATTGTGGCTCCGTCTGCGGCAGAAGTAAGAATGCCCGAGGCAAATGCAGGTGAGAAAACTGGAGCGAGGTTTTGCATGGATGTGCCAAAAGAGTGAACCGAGGCTGCACATATCAGATTCTTAGATGGAAGTGTCGGCGTGGAACCCATAGAGTGCCATTGTTCTGTCTCTACCCCACCCGTGACCCGGCTCTAACGTTATGCAGTCATTAGATAATCTCTCTCACTGCTACAGTATGCACTGCTATCGTGTGACAACCAGCAGCTACGGCTCGTGGCGTGTTAGGTAACCTGCTTCCTCCTGCATGCGCGTCTATGCAGTGATATAATCATAAGTGGGGACCCTGTATCATAATGCCGGGCTTGCCCACGGGAGGGGGTGGGGAGTTGTAACCGTTCTCTCGCTAGACCTTTCCTTCGCAGCAAGCACGAGAGAGATTCGCTCGTTGACATTGCATATCCCTTCCGAATTTAGTACTCTGAAGCTGCTATCCCTTTTATTTTCCTATCCTCGTTTCTCTCTGCGTCCGCCGCACCTGTCCCCTCCCTCCGCTGCCCATAAGGTTTCCGTCCCTGGTCCCCTTTCCTTCCCCAACACAGCTGAACACTCCTCGATGATGTCACACTGCATGGGTGAAGCTTGCTATCCTGTCTGCACGCCCTCCGCACTCGCGCTCCCAATGTAAAGGCAAAAATTCTATAAAGACGTGTGCTCAAACTATCGGGAAATGACGTTTGTATGAAGCTATTCCTTTATCCCAGCAACGCGTCGATGGCGCGAAACCCCGCGATGTATCCTAGGTGGTAAATGCATTCGAGTTATATTGGCAGTAAGTAACACATGATGTGCCAGTACGCATGTGTACATATATGTCGGCGTCGGTGTGACTTTATCGAATACCCGATGCTGTAACGTAGGCATTGCTAAACATTCTCACTGTTCGTAAGTCGTGCCCTGACCTTATATTCCGTCGTGTGGGGGGTGGAAATTGCATCTCAGTGTTGCAATTTTCATTGATTTCTCGTGACAATTGTGCAATATTGAAAAGGCCATCGAATATATCATTTATCATCTCGCATTTTTACCTCAAGTTGGTCGAATCAGGGAGAAATCTCACCTCGCCGTGCCCATATATACGACGCGTGGCTTCCTTCTATATGATGCGCATTCTCACATCGGGTACGTGTGCGAGCGCTCTCTGGCGGCGGGTGTGCATACTTCCAGCCTATAGTTATCGGCTGCCAAAACAACGAAATGGGAGCGTGAGTGACGGCACTACATCGATCTGCTAAGCCGGGTTTATGGTTTTATACTTTCCTACCTGCTATCACATGCTGAATAATAAGGGGAAAACGGGGGTGGGGGTCTATCCTTAGTTTTCCAAGTAGAAAAATATGTCATTTCTCATTAATTAAAATCGTAATTCCGGCTTTCCCGCTTTCCGGTTGACATCTATTTCCTAATCACGAAAAATTTATCCGGTATTTCCGGTATATGCCTAAAATTGTTTAATCTCGTCGACAATAACCGTTTCCCTTTCATAGGTGTTTCTATCACACCCCCCCCCCCCCCCTCCCGCGCCGCCCCGCGCCGCCGCACACACACGCACGCACCGCATCGCGCAGCAGTGTAACGTATACTGATGCACGAACGTGATGCGATCTTCCTTGTGCAGCAGCAGCAGCAGCAGCAGCAGTAGCAGCAACAGCAGCCCAGGCAATAGCAGCAGCAGTAGCAGCAGCAGCAGTAGCGGTAGCGGAGGCGGCGGCGGCGGCGGCGGCGGCGGCGGCGGCGGCGGCATCAATTCTCATCATAGCCTGTTGTTATGCACGGTCGGTCACATGCATGCAGCGTGTAGAGGTCGTTGCTCGTATCTTGGTCGTATGTATATAGTTGTTTGATGCGCGCATTCAAATGTTGACAGATATTTGCAATACAACGTCTGCACGCCAGGTGATCAAACTTGTGTGCGCGCGCGTGCGTGTGTGCGCGCGCGTGCGTGTGTGCTTGTGCTTGTGGGGAGCGTGCGTGCTCGTGAATGTGTACGCGCGCGCGTACGGGCGTGCGTGTTAGCGTGTGCGTGCGCATGCATGCGTGTGTGGGGTGGGGGGGCACATCCGCGCTCGTGTGCGTATGCGTCCGTGCGTGTGCTTGTAGGGGGTGCGTACGTACGTGTGTGCGTGCGTGCTTGTGTGAATATACGCCCCCAATGCGCTCGTCCTGGGCAGAATCTCCCCCTCTCTCTATATAACATTCATATATACATGTATACGTGCTCCTTCTCTGTGCTTACCTCGTAGGTTTCCTATAATTGAGACAGCTAAATGTCTCGCCTCCCAATAAACTTATAAAGTCATGGTAAAGTCACTTATAAATGCAATCACATATACTATATATAGGAGACTTTCGAATGTATGTGCAAATGTGGATACTATTGGAATTATTGAAGAAGTTTTTTTAGTTTATGATACCGAATCGTGTTTCTATATAGTAATCTTTTGTAAGTAAATAGTCTGTAAATAAAGATAATTTATATTATTCAATTGAGGCAGAATGTTTTACTTCGCATCATTGGCTTGTTTAGGCTCAGCGTTTCCTTGTTTATATAGAACTGTCTAAGGACGTACGCAGGAAATTTTCTGTAGCGGGGCAAAGGTACTCCCCATGCCCCCTGTGCCCTAAAGTTTCGCAATTGCACATTTCTTTATTTAAAGTAATATTTCTTTGATGATTTAAGATAACCTTTTATCACATTTCTTTTTTATTTTAAATGTGTACAGTATTTGTCCCATTAAAAAGGCATACTCTGAAAATCTCTAGGGGGGCACTGCGCCTGCTGCCCCCCCTGCTGCGTGACGGCCCTGCAACTGTCTATATATAAGCATAACATCACGCATAGACGGATTAATAGGCGATATGCGGCGCTTGTTCTCCATTGACTGTTTATATGCGTTAATTATTTATTGCCTCGGCCGCCATATATATATATATATATATAGGCCTATATATATGCTTTAATTCTTTTCTTTTTTCTCCCTCTCCGCCGGTGTGACCAAGGCACCACTCCAGCAGGTGAACTTATACCTCCAGGCATTGGCCGCTTCAGAAATGTATAGCGGGTGCATGGTGGTGGGGGATGACAAAAACTATAACCACTATAGGGGTCTTACAGTTGTAAAGTAAACACGTCTCCTCGGTGGGGTGGGGGTGAGGGGGGGGGAGAATTAGGGCAGCTGAGAATTCTGCTGGAGGGAGCAGAATTAACCCCGTGCAGCCAGCAGCGATCGAGCGCATTGCAGTACATACTTCAAGTGACGATTATTTTAGCCCCTGATTAGCTAATTTTTTTTGGAAAACAATAGCAATAGGTAATTAAAAGGGGGGGGGTGAAATGCTCATTCATGACTATATATATATAATTTATATGTATATATATATATAATAATATATATATATATATATTAATTCATACTTCGCTTAATTTCTTCTTAATTTCATATACCCGTTTCCAGGTAGGGACCGTATAGAGTACGTTCGTTCACGCTTATAGTCAGATTCTGGGACGTGGGTCATGCTCCCGATGCCGCCACGTTGGTCTAATTAATCAGGACTAAATAATCACAACTTTGCGATTATTAGCTATTGATCATTTGATGTAATCAATATACACCCCCAGGTGTTATTGCTGGTGCCTCCTATTTTATGATCGCGTGTAATTGGTTGGTTACAGTTATAGCCAATCTGAATGGCTGTCTTATGACCTTGATTATCGGTTGCCTTGCTTGGCCTTGAAGTTTCGTTAAAACGTGCAAAATATGCACAGATTACTGCAGAAAACTGCAAATTACATGTAAACGACTAATGAGTTTTGTTAAAACGTGCATTATTAGCACAGATCACTGCAGAATACTGCATATGTAAACGACTATGAGCTTGGTTGACGTCATAGATATAAATACGCCACAATTTGTTATGGTTAAAAACGCTGGAATGATACGAATTTCGTATGCAGCGACTCTATAGCCTTCAATATACATGCGTTAATAGTGACAGACATGTATTCGCTAAAACGCTATCAGGATATACGAAAAAACGTATGTTGTATTTTGTCGGTTTACATCGGGTCGCGGACGAACTATTATCGATGCGTGCTGCGTCAAGTTGTCGTACTAGAAGTGTAAAGATAGGATGTGTGTCGTTCAACGCTCGGCGGTTACAATATTTTCTCTTTCTGTCATTCATAAGTCATCTTTTTAGTAACTGCCACTTTTATGTGCGTTACCTTAGTCATCTACAACGATGAGTGGGATACGAGAGTTCGTAAAGCCTCCGGAGTGCCCTGTATACTATCCGAAGTTGGCTGAGTGGGATGATCCATTGGCTTTCATAGCCAAAGTACGTCCAGACGCGGAGAAATACGGCATATGCAAAATTGTTCCTCCACCGGTAAGTGAAAAAAACATTTAGTCACGTGTAATAACACTAGTTGTAGTGTTTTGTATAATTTTTCTATGATATAAGCTCACGAGTTCTGCACGCGAAAGCGGAAACTGGTGTACGTGTTAAAGTACAGCTATCGGTTTAAATGCCCAACATGGCCGACGCTTTTGTCTGCGGACGGGCATTTAAATTTCCGGGGCACCTTCCACTTAATTCCATATATTTATTGTTTATGTGTGTTTTTATCGAAATACGCTAATCGCAATAGATTGCCAGATGAATGCTTAAATATAATAAGTAAGCTTTGTTGGATTTAGTGTGATATAGACTGAGAAATTCGCATTTAAGTGAAGCCTTCTTTTGTCTAGGTGTTGCAATAAGGCAAATATTCTCTCACCAAAATGGCTGTCAAGGGTGGTAAAAATTGCCAGAACCCCACCCACAATTCGCAAATACACCTGTATGAGTTTATACATCACTAGCAAACACCTGTGGATTGGAAATGAGTGTTTATCCATCTGAAATTCGTCAAAGACGTATACATTTTGTGGAATAAGTGAAAGCAACAGAAATAATGTGAATGCCCCAAGTCAAGGGAAATGCCCATATTTTATACTTAAATGGATATTACTTGCTAGAAATATGTTTATCACATACAGTTAGTGCTTGCAGGGTCTTAATTGCCAGGTTTCTGTATAATGAAGATGCAGGGAGTTACAGAGTTATGAGAATTGAAGCAAAATTGTCATTTCATGGAGCACATGAATTATGGATATTTATTATACTTTCTTAACTATTTATGATCAAATAAAGAAACAATCATCCACACAATGTTCCATTAAGAGCATTACATGTGAAATTTTATTTGTGGCCAATCATTCCCATGCGACTGAGCTGTCCATTACAAATCTATTCTGCAGTGTAAGCCTTTCAAATGAGTATACCAATACGAAGATACCGGTACTCAACCAGTTTAGCATAAATATTAAATGTGATGCGATTAATTCCCCAAGTGTGTTCGATCCCTCGTTGTTTTGGCATGTAGCGGTAAAAATTGTGCGGTGACCTGTAAGTTAGGGTACAAACCCCATTCGCTCGTGTATATATATGTAAGTACCTATACATGTTGATCTCAGCAAAGAATTGGTCAGTGACCTAGGTAAAAGAAACGATTACCTTCATAAGATGGGTTTGACTTTTTTGGCATATGCTCATGTCTATTGTATGTGTGTACAGCCAAGCACATGTGGGTATATAATTCTTTCAAGGTACCGCGAAGTTGGCCGTACATACTGCAAAACCGTATGTTCTAGCTATGTTGCATTGACCTGCTTACTGCAGACAAGATGGCTGTCAGGAATATATATATATATATATATAGGGTACTAGTATTATAACTCATTATATAATATAATATACTATGTATACACATGTGTCATTGTGATGAGCAAGTTAATAAGTTGTGGTGGATTGAATATTTATGGATCGACAATCATGTGAGATGTTGTTAATAATTTTGTAAGTCACTGCAGTCATAGAGATATAACACATGCTCAGGGGTCAATACATTTATGTAATGTAAATGTTACTGGGCAAAACTCTCCTGCCGCTTAACTAGTACCAACGATGCGCCCTCATCCCATTTGACAAATACGCTGCACACGATCAATTCAGATATGGTATTAACCCTGCGGACATATCGCTGGTATAGAATGTTTTCGGAATTCTGTTTTATCGAAATGGACGAATCAGCCATTTTCATACCAACTTAATTCCGTCCAATTTTATCTGTGTTAGGATTTCTTCTGTATTATTTACTTCTTGTATTTTAGTTTGTTTATCTCTTATTTCTTTTAATTCTCTTTGCGTTTTTTTATACTTTTTTTTATGTTGAATTGGTCTTATGTCTCATCTCTTCTTTTTTTGCTAATTCGATCGTTTAGTATCAATTTTTTATCTTTTCATCTTTTCTTGCCGTCATATCTGGTCTTACTGAATACTTATGAGTATGATTTTTATATATATTATATTTTTATGCTTTGTGTCTATTTATATCGCGCAGTTTTAAATCATGAGGAGTGGCTTAATCACGTTTTAATCAACTCTGCTTCTGCTTAAATTGTTCAGCGAGAAATCGGTGGCAAACTCTCTTAATTCTCTTCTCCAGTTTATACCATGTGGTTAGATTAGTACAGGTCCGTAGCCAGGAGGGAAGTTTTCTCCCCCAGCTTGCCGAGCAAAAAAAGCAATATTTGCAGGAATTTCACACCTCATCGATGCCATTACCTGACCAAGGTATCGCTCCACTTTTATTGTAAATAATTGCAAAATTTAATCGTTGGGAGGGGGGATATGCCACGCCTCCCGAACACCCCTTTCCCCCCCGCTCGGGTCAACTTCGCGCGCGATCCCACTTCTCTCAGCGACGCGCTCTCCCTGCTCGGGTCCGCTATGTCCCCTTTTCAAGCATATTTTCCTGTTCCGGAGCATAGGGTCCGTACTTTTCTTCTTGCACGTTCGGAGCTTACCCCTCGTCCGCAACATGTCTCAGCTCCCGGAAGCAGGATCAATGCTTCTGACGTTACAGCAAACCCCTAGTTCCGGAGGCACCCATTTTGAGTGGCTATTAGCACGGGGAGGCGCGCCGCCACCCCATTCCATTCTGCTTCGACGTAGCAAAATATTACCGCTACCGGATAATAAACGATTTTGTAGGGAGTGCCCCCCAGGGTCTGTGACCAGCCAAGCTAGTAGCTATTGTGTTATAAATTTGACCAATCGCCATATCGATGAGAATGGTCTTACATTGATTTATGTGTATACCTGCATGGCATAACTATAGCTACACAAGTTTGTGTAATCCCAGGCAGAACCTCTATGTAATATAGATCTATATTATAATCACTATGTTTATTATGTTAGCATTGAATTAATCGGATTTGTAGGCGATCATTTATTATAACCCCCCTGTGGTTATAATGTTTGGATTGTCCACATCCATAATCTTGTTGCATTGTCTCTGTTAGCAGTTTTTTGGAAATTACTGTAGTCATATATCTGCGATTTCGCAGTGGTTTTTTATGATGAACAGCGTAGTTTTGCACGGCCCCGCGTATAAATCTATCAGGCTCATAGGGTCTACGTCCCCAGCGGTACTGCTCGGAAACGTATCCCTGGAGGACGGTCCCGCTATAGACCGGAACGTATCCCTGGTAAGCTATCTGATATGTTAGGGTTAGGGGTAGGGTTAGGGTTAGGGAGTAGGCGTAGGCGACTCCCTAGACTCGTTAGTGGAGTAGGCGAGGTACGGTCCGGCATATTAGATAGTACCAGGGTACGTTCCGGTATACCGGACCTTACCCTGGGTACGTTCCGGCAGTACCCTGGGGGACATAGCCCCTCTCAGCGTATAACTAAGTGTATAGGCTGGCCTATTGGTGTGCAGCTTTATGTAACGTGTAATCAAGAATTATGTAAGCATGTGTGCATATGTTTGCTGTGATCGAGCTCGTTAGAATTAACATTCTTATTTACATCTGTATTGATTTTCACACATCAGGCAACAACCAGAGTCCGGCTGAACTTCCTGGATCAGATTGCGAGGTTTTGGGATCTACAGGTGAGCTAGCTATATATATATAGGCATTTCAGGATTCCGAGCGCATGATGCAACATACCTGCTGCCAAAGTTTTAATAGATGCAAGAATTTGTTTCACATGCAGCAATCAGTTGTGTTTGACCATGCACTCCCACATATGGTATAAATATATATATATATATATATATATATATATATATGTATACATGTGTGCATGTTGTAGCAGTAATAAGTGTTGGTGATTGAATTTATGCGACAATCATTGAAGTTGTAATAATTTCAAGCCTGCAGTCATAGAGATATACACAGCTCAGGGGTATACATATTATGTATGTATGTACTGCAAAACTCTCCTTCAGCTACTATACCAACATGGCCCTCACCCATTTGACAAAACGCTGCACACACAATCAGATATGTATACCCATGCGTGACATATGCTGGGTATAGGAATGTTTCGAATTTCTGTTTTAGAATGGGAAAAGCCATTTTCATCCAACTTAATTCCGTCCAAATCTGCAGGTATTGGCTGATCAAACTCGACTAGTGTACATCTTGAATTCTTGCGTTTTTAACTTTAGGAATGGCAGCCACCTTTTGCAATCGACGTAGACAATTTTATCTTCACTCCTCGCCGGCAAAGGCTGAACGAACTAGAGGTAAGTGTGTGCATGTGTTAGCGTGTGCATGAACGGCAGTTTAAATCATGAGGAGTGGCTTAATACACGTTTAATTAACTCTGCTGCTGGCTTAATTTCACAGAATCGTGGCAATTCTTAATTCCCTGTCCGTTGATACCATGTGTATATATACAGGCCCATAGCCAGGGGGTGTTTGGGGGGTTCGTGCCCCCCCCCCCTGAGCAAAAAAAAAAGCAAATATTTGCAAGA